GCGTGACCATCCCCCATGGGGGGTGATTTCTCGCTTTCTGTCTCTATGTCTCTCTCTGTCTGTCTGGTGCATGCACGCGCCCTACAGTGAAAATCTCTCAAAAAAAAATTAAATAATTTAAAAAGTACAGTAGTATTAGGGATAGCCATAATGCAATGCTGAGATGCTGTACACACATGGGTAATTTGCAGGTTTTGCAACTGAGGGCTTGGCCTGTGATGAACAGCTGGCATTCCCACCTCGGCCCCCTGCCCCTCTCTGATGCCCTGCCTGCAGCCCAGAGCTCACAGCCATAGAAAGACCAACTTGGAGGCCCTTGTGCATCGAAGACTGATTTTCCAGGTGTGGAGTACCCCATCCACCATTGCAGCGTCCATCTCCCTGTGCATTCTAGGCCCCAGCATGGTTATGATCTACGCTGGCTAGAGCGGGTTTGGATCACAGTATGAAGACACTGTTAGGGATGATTATCTCTTTCTTAAGATTAAAACAACAACAGCAACAAGACAAAACAAAAAAAAACTTAAAAGAAAAGAATAACTTTAAAATATAGTGGTGCTGGCCCAACTGTGGTTGGTGGCAAAGTGGTAGGGCTCCCTGTTCATACTGAAGCCAAGTGGAAGGCCCCCAATTCCTCAGATCTAGGTCAAACTGACACGGGGTAGGGTGGGGAGTAGGGGTGGGCAGTGGGAGGGAGAGTGTCATGGCATGGTGAGACCTATCAAGAGTGCCTGTCTCTCCTTCCTTTTTACTCATCTCGTCCCTGACTTTCCTAGAAGAAACGTTATATTATACATGTAATAAAAATTAAGGTAATAACATTCTATATCACTACTCTTGCATCAGTCAAAATATCAACAGATGATCAAGGAACAAAGGATTCAACGTAAATGTTACACTGAAGTGATGTGTTAACAGCGGTTCTGCCGAGTTAAAGAGCAGAAACTAGGAGGGAAGGACGATCTGCTTTCTTCTTTACCAAAAAGAGAAATGATAGACTGGGAAATTAATTACTAGTGGCTCAACCATAACGGGATATGAAGGATGCATATGAATAATTAATGACAGACTAAGTACAGTATGTGGAAAAGAAAAAGCTGAAGCAGAGAAGGAAGCCGGCTGTAAGGCAGGCGTAAGTGGGGGGCTGGGAGGGCGGTAAACTGAGTCCTCAACACCCAATTGGTTTCATGCTAGTTAGCAAACCCCAAAGGAAGAGGAAGACCTGCTCCCTAGCCTGAGAAAATACTCGAGATTTTAAGGTGTTATATCGACCCCTGAATGGCCTTTAGGTCATTTCTCTTCAGAAAAGAAGAAGATGGTTACAAGATGGTTGCATTTGGTCAGAACACTACGGTCTGAGCCCTCCCTTACTGGCAGCCGGCACCCACAGATGGGGCCATAAGGTCACAATGGCAAGTAAGTTCATCAAATTACCCGCCATTGTCGTTCCCCGACCCCTCCACCCTTCCCACATAAATACATCAAGTCTCTCCGGTAGGCTGTGAAGCACCTCCGGCTTCAGATCCCCGGAGCTCTTTCTCAATAAACTTTCCCTTTTCTCTTGAGATGCTTCCCGGGTCATACTCCGAATGGTGACTAAAGTAAGGCCAAGGAAGGCTATGACAAGGAAGGTCATTTTCCCCCGAACTGGACAGGCAAGTACAACCATCGAACATAAAACACCCGAGTCCACACCACCAGCCCCTCACCTCAACAATTCGCAAAAGCACAAACCCCTTTCTGAGGCCGCCATCTTCCGCCAACCCCGAACTCAGGAAGTGCTTTGTTGTTTCTCTTCTCTATTGGCTCCTGAGGAAAAGTGGGGCTCTTTACCCGCCCCCACAGGCTGATTGTGCATCTCAATTGGTTGTTGAGAGTAGCTCCCCACGCCTTCCAGCCAATAGAATATGCCAAGGCGTTGACGACTTTTGGGCGTGGCGCACCCGGGTTCCGCCCCGTTTGGAGGGACCTTGGAGGGCTGGGGGGCGTGGCCTGTGACGGACAGCTGGAGTTCCCGCCCCCGGTCCCCTCCACCACTGGAAGCCCCTCTACAGCTCCCCCTCCCCCGGCGCAGAGCCGGCCGCCCGTTGAAGACCAAATGGAAGGCCCTCGCGCGTCGCGAACCTATTTTCCAGGTGCAGAGTTTGCCCTCTCCGCAGTTGCGGCGTTTGGGACCCACGGCGCCAGGGACTCAGGCGCGGAGCCCAAAAGGGGCTGCGCGGAGCGGAGCTGACCGCGAGCCACGCCGCACCTTCCACTGAGGCGCTGGGCGAGCCCTGAGATCTGCATCTCCAGCCAGGCTCTGCGCCGCTTGTTAGTCGTCCCTCTGCGGCACTCGGCGGAGATCCGAGCACCACGTCCCGAGCGCTCCGGCCCGAGGTAGCGGAGGCCGGGGAGGGAGGGCGACCCCCGCCCTGCGGTGCCGGCCTGCCCGAGGCCACTGAGACACCGGCCTGGCCAGCAGCTTCAGAGTCCGCACCGCCAGGCCGTTCTCGGGTGTGGGTGAGAGTCCGCGTCTTACTCTCTTCTCTTGTCTCCGCGTCCCCCAGTCAGGGCGCGCAACTTTTGAGTCAACCCATAGGGTCTGGGCTGCGGATCCTCTGGTACCGTTTCCCGGCCCCTCCTAGGGGGAGAGCCTGGCCGCTCTGATACCTTCACATCCCGCACCTCTTCTCCCTGCGTTTTAACTCCGCGCTTCTCTTCGTTGACCAGGTGACGTTTGGGCTCTGAGCAGGACCAGAGAAGAAATTGGTGTCTGCGGGGGATGATGCCGGAGCTGGAGAGACAGATTACAGCTAGAGAAGAGGCCGGTCGGAAAGTAAGTTTCCTACCCCGCGCCAGTGCGGTGTGCACACACACTCGACCCGAGGACTTTCCTTCCACCTGCGCCCCAGTACCGACCCCAGGAGCTGGAGTGCGCACGGAATGGGGAGCGCGACAGTCCCAGCTCCAAGGGTCATGGGGTTTGGAAAAAAGGCATCTTTAGAAAGGATGGTCTGGAACAATCGACATCCCAGTGACGCGGGGAGGTTGCGGTGGTCAGGCCCGACACAGGTGCAGGATTCAGAGCCGCAAGCTGACCTGCTTCTTGTGTCGTGCTCTCCAAGCACTAGAGACGCAGACGCATGGAGGGATAGTAAAACCGGAGTTTATTAGGAGGAAGTAAAAGCAAGCTCCCATCAAGTTGGGAGAGGGCTCGAAAGATGGGTTGTCGCTGAGACGATGCATTTGGGTTTTTTATCCTAGTTAGAATGGAAACAGGCCTGTTTTTTTGCCTTTTTTTCCCAAAGGTATCGTCTCATCTGGTGTTTAATGCTTCTATTTTGATATACGGAAAATAAGCCTGAAGTATTTGGGCCCCAACGCTTTCAGATGCTGGTTTATTTCATCCTTTTTCTGTCCATTTTTGTGAGTAGATTATGGCCCATAAAGTTCCTGGTTTCAGTCTTGGCTCTCCTAAGCCTGGAGCTCATGTTCCTTGTCATCTTCCCTTTTGATCATGTTATCTCTGCACATTAAGCATTTTATCTTGAAGCACTATAGGAATGTTAGATAACCAGCATCTTTGCTTTTACCAGATACTGGCGGGCCCTGGAATTAAGACATTTCATTCCAATAGACTGCCATGCTGTCTCCCCTGCTGATTCCCCATTTCCCCGAAGTGTAGTCATCTGAGGTAAAATCTACAAGAGAAAGGCCATGGAGTTTCCATTCCTGGGGCCAGAAACCCTGTCTGACTGGGGCTTTTCTATTTATCTTTAGGTGCTAGAAAGGTAAAAGCTTAAAGTTGCTTTGTAAGAGCCCTAACTAATAGCTCAAAGCAATTAAGTTACTTAACCTGGAGAGATTATTCAGAGTCTGGTGCCTAGAGCCCTTTACTGTATATCCAGATCCTGCAACTTTTTTTTTAAGTTACCTGTTTTCAATTAATTTTAATTATCCAGTTAATACATTGACTTGGACTCTTAAAAAATACAACCAGTTAAAATATTTGGTACAAAAGCAAATCTGTTTTCTAGTCCTTTTCTTCAAGTACATGTCTAAATATTCAGCAAATAATTAGTGAAAAGTGTATGTTTCAGAACTATATTGAAGAGTTGAAAACTACAGTAGTTAATAAGAGAAATATGTTTACTCAGAAATTTTCAGGTTTTTGTATGTATTTTTCAGAATTTTGTTTTATTTAAATGAGAACTCATGGTGTGTATTCTCCGGCTTGTTTTCAATTTAATAATATCTTTTGAAAGTTGTTTCTGAAGTATCTTACTTGGTTTAACTTATGCACAGAATAGATGTACCATAGTTTGTTGTGGGTGAACATTCTGATTGCTTCATGTTTTTCTCTCACAAGTACACATCCATATATGTGACCTTCCCCCCACATGGCATGTGAGCTTGCCAGAGGGACAGAAAGAGAATGGGAAAGTGAGAAATCACCCCATCCCTGGGCAGTGGGGGGGTGGGGTGGCCATGCTATAGTCCCTTTCCTCCATTCTCCTCTTGAAATTTTGGACACCATGCCTGGCATGATTTTAAAGCCGCTTGGCCCAAGATCAAACTGCACTCGGCCACGTGGGTTCCAGTGCCTTCACCATGCCTCTGGCTGGCTCATGCTGACACTCAAATATTTCTTTAGGACACACACCTAGGCCTGGATTGCTGAAAAATAGACTGCCTTTTTTTTTTTTTTAAACCAATTCTATAATCAATTTAATGGCATTACTGAGCACCCTTTAGTGATGAAATTCATCTGGGTTCTGGTGGCATAGACGTAAAAGAGAAGTAGATGAGGGGATAATCAGAGAGGCTGGTAGGTAGATCATGCTTGCAGTGTGATGACTGCATTTGATCTGGGGTGTAAAGAAAGCACATGTTGAGGAAGTGTGGCATGTGCAGAGGAGAGACACTGCCAATCCCCAGCTTCCACACCAAGAGAGAAAACTCCTTATCCTTCCACCTGAAACTCAATGCCTGCTGCCTCCTTGAAATCTTCTGTAACTGCCCCTGCCTGTATTGACCTCACCCTCTTCTGGATTCCTTTGATAATAGTATCCATGAGTCCGTGTTACTGAACTTACTGTATATTGTAATAAGCACTTGATATTCCTCTTTACACAATCATTGAATCCTTTTCAAACTCTTTAATGTAGTTATTGTTATCTATTTATTATACTTATAATAAATAAATAGATACTGTTATTGGCTGACCACTATTGTTATTTATTAAACAAATTATTTTATTTTTATGTATTTGATTTAAAAATTTTGTTGTAGGATGCATGTGCTTGCCAGAGAGAAAGAAAAAAAAGGGAAAGTGAGAAATCACCTCTTGGGGGGATGGCCAGGCCGCAGTCCCTTCTCCTCCATTCTCTTCTTGGGATGTTTGGGCAGACATGCACATGGGCCTGTTGTGATTTTCAAGCCACTGGGTCTAGGACTTCAACCTTGCAGTTGGCCATGCGGGATCCAGCACATGAACCTCCGTAGCACCTGCTGACCCTAACAAATAAATATTGAAAAAATTTATTTCTTGAGAGAGAGTCAGACAAAGTACCTTCAATAGTGTCTTATACCCTAATTTTCCCTGTAGTCTTCCCAGCCAGCCAGGATCACAGGCACATGCACCTGCTGCATGTACAGGTTAAGCCTGGTTACCAAACCCAATCTTCCATATGGCTTCCACCATTGCAGAGTGGTGGGCTACCACTGTACCATTGCAGCTGTGCCAATGAATATTTTTTTGAGTACTATGTGCCAAGTGTTGTAGGCACTGGGGATACAGCCATACCACAGTCCCTTCTTCATTCTCCTCTCAGGATTTTGGGCATACACGGACACAGGTCTGGCGTGTTTTTCAAGCTGTGGGTTCAAGATTCGAACCCATAGTTGGCTGTTTGGAATCCAGCTCCTTAACCACCATGCCTCTGGCTGACCCAATAACAAGCTCATATCTGAGCTTCTGATAATGAGATGGCTCTCAGTGGGCCATTGGTAGCTTCAGGATGAGGGCCAGTTGCCAGAAACCAACTATCTGATCAGGGGTAAGGACTTTAGCCCCATCCCCTGGCATCTGGAAAAGTAAGAAGGGTTGTAGATTGAGCTAATTATCAGTAGTCATTGGTTTGATCAGTCATGCTTACATAATCGAATCTCTATAAAAGCTCTAAATGATAGGGTTTATGAAGAGTGTTCAGACTGGTGAAACCATGAAGATGCTGGGAGAAGGCATAATAAGCTTGAAGAGAGCATAGAAACTTTCTGCAGCCCCCAATCCCATTCCCTGCCCTATCCTGTTGGTTCTTCCTGAGTTTTATCCTTTATAATAAACTGGTGATGGGCCACATGGTGGTGCAGCAGTAAAATGACTCTCTGAGAGGCTGACCCACACTGGAAAGATTCTAGATTCGTGTCCAGAGACCTTCCTGACTATGCTGGGCACACATATGCTCATGGTCGGGTTGGCTGAAGCTGGGGATCGGTTTTGACTTCGAGATCCTCTTGGGGGTGCTGTCTGTTCTCTGTATCATTCATGAAGAAGGAAATAAACTTTTTTTAAAAATGGCAAGAGCAAATAAAGAATTAATGAGTTCTGTGAGCTGCTCTAGAAAGTTATCCAACCCAAGAAACAGGTTATGAGAATGACTTAACTTAGAGCAAGTGGGTCAGAAGTACAGGTGGCCCAAACTGGCCTGTTAAGTAGAGGCAGTTTTATAGGACTGAGCCCTTGACCTGTGGAATCTACACTGATTGGGTACTTAGGATCAGAACTGAGTTGTAGGGTACCCAGTTGGTG